ATTTACCGCGTAATTTAGCCGCCGCAGTACAATTCTTCCTTTTTTTCCTTTTCCTCCCTGACCCCCGCTTTGCCATGGACGCCCGTCGAGGTTCGCTCCCAGTTCCCAGAGTTCGCCAGGTCGGATTCTTCACACCGAACGCCCCGCCCGCCCCGACCCGATCCCAATCCGGTCCGCCCAATTCTAGCTCTCCGCCGCTCCCCGAATCTCCGGCAAGCAACTCCCTATCCCCCGTCATGATTCCTCCGCCACGTCACCACTCCGATAACCTTGCTGCCGCTCCTCGTCCAACCTCTCCTCTCCCTGTTCCTGAACCCTCCCCCTTCCGCCGCCGTGGTGCTCACGCCGGCGCCGACAACAACGCTCCCCTGGTCGGTAGCTACAATCCGACCGAGACTCTGCTGGCGATGTCTCCGCCCGCCACACGCTCTCCTTCCGATAGTCATGCTGGCGATGGCGAGTCTGAGGTGGCGATGTCTGGTGGCTGGTTCCGGCGGAGCAATTCTGCGAAGCTGGCTTCCAGTTTGCCTAGCGGGACCTTTGACTTCAGTTCAGTCCAGTCAACGGCTGAGGCTCTGAAACCCACCAAGGTCCAGAACCGCGTCGGCGTTTCTGGTTAGTGAAAACAGTAACTGTGCACTGCATAATTAATCTGAATGTTAGGATGACTAACTGCATTGCGTCAATTCGAATTGAATTTTCTCTTGATTGATTGTTCATGGATCGAGATGGCTCAGTGATACTTGATAGAGGGTTTCTAGAAGAACGTTGCCCATACGAGAGCTTTGCTTTTTGGGCTTTCTTAGCTCCCAAAAGAAGGTGCCTTTACGTTAGTGGAGTGTGTTAGCTCATAGGCTGCTTATGTGTGTGTGTGAATGCAGTTTTAAAACTTTCGTTTGTTAGTTATTTCTTGCAATTTCCTATTCCCAGAACATATGCTGAGTAAGACAATTCTTGCAGAAGCAAGTGGAAGGCCTGCTCCAAAGGAACAACAACCTGAGGCTCCATCAAGCTCGAAGCAACCAAAACCAAAGCTTACAAAAGCTGAAAGACGTGCATTGCAGGAGTCTCAGCGTGCTGCCAAAGCTGCTACAAAAGGTGCAATATTACTATCTTACTCTTATTTTTTACTGCGATGTCTCTTTTTGAGCTGCCAGGAGCCCAGGACATCATAATTTACTTACATAGGCAGAATGGACCTCTTGTGTTGATGGGTTAGCATTATACTTATCTTACAACAGCCCCTGGACGTCAAAGCTTTTTTTTTTTTATCCTAGTGCTCCTTGCCATGTAATCTGACAGTAGGATTTTGTTTCTTAGTTTTCCTCGAGGACCTTTAGTGAATATAACATCCTATCTTAATGACTGTTTTTGTTTTTTCCCCCCTGAGAGTTCACATATTCTGTTGAATGATGGTTTCACACTCTCACGTTGAATAATGCTACTGAAAGCCGAGTTTTGCTTGTCTACTGAATCATTCCATTGAACCATTGGGTTTGGCTTTTCTTTACTTGAATTCTAGTTTTGCTTGTTCAAACCGCCATTGAGTGTCATTTAAAATAATCACTTCGATACATTCACTGCAGGTTTACTGACATAAGCAAATTGTGTCTTTCCCTTTTCGCCATTGAACCTTGACCTATATCAGAGAAAATGTTCTGTTTCACACTGAAAGAAATATTAGATTTATCAAAATGCTTTTTATAGGAATTCAATCACTTACTGTGAATTAACGATTGGGATGATATCCAAACCAAAATGAAGAAAATAATGTTAGTAAGGTGGAATAATTCATGAGGAAGTTACGGCATCCAAATTTTCATTTTGATGTAGCAAGATATATATGAAACTGATACCTGATTGTTTTTCCCATGAAGTAGGAAAAAAAACTTGCTGAATGGCCATTTTAACTTTCACACATTGACTCGTCTTCTTTTCTTTTTAGCCTCTGGAGGTGGTAAATCTGTCGCTGCGTCCGAGGAGGTGACTACTGTTAAATCTGTTAAACAGCATCAAACACAAAAGAAAGATGCTCCTCATGTTGCAGTATCAGTTGCAGCGTCTGAACGGAAGGGAGGTGATAAGTCTCAAGAGAAAGAGCGGAGAAAAGATGCCCCTGCACCACGAATGCAATTTGATGATAAAAGTCGTGTTGACAAGGCTAAAAGGCGTTCAGTGGTCGATCAAACCGAAGCAAGAAATAGGGTTGAATTGTTTCGTCACTTGCCTCAGTATGAACATGGCACCCAGCTTGCTGATCTGGAGTCAAAATTTCTGCAACTTGATCCAATGCACCCTGCAATTTACAAGGTAATTTGGCATTTTTGAAGTTCAAAGTTCCTATCCATAGTAGCCGGCTTCATTAAGTTTTGCCAGGCATTCACGCACCAAGGCCCACGGTCGTAAGAGAAAACCATCTTATCCTAACTGTTGTTTTCTTTCTTTTCTCCTTCTCCAATACCTAGAAAAACTCTAATTTGAAAGCCTTGTCTGTGTGTCTGTCTGGTATTTTACGAGATGGTGAATTCGAGCAAGCATTTTAATAGTTTGAGGAAGCATGGCTTGATATCTTGGTCCTTCAGTTGTCATACTTCTATACTTTGCAAATTGCCAATCTTTCTAATTTAGGTGGCGCGCCTCAGTAAAAGTAGCTCAGGCATCCATTTCATTTATTTCGTACTATATTTCCAGTTAGTCTGCTTTTTTGAACTTTTCTCTTGTGCAAAACTTCTGGCAGGTTGGTTTGCAGTATCTGGCAGGAGATATTTCCGGGGGAAACGCTCGTTGCATAGCAATGCTCCAGGCATTTCAACAAGTCATCCAAGACTACTCTACTCCACCTGAAAAAACTCTCCAGAGAGATTTAACCGCAAAAATCAGTAGTTATGTTTCATTCTTCACACAATGCCGACCACTTTCCATGAGCATGGGCAATGCCATAAGGTTTCTCAAAAATCGCATTGCCAAGTTGCCTCTATCTCTCTCCGAATCAGAATCAAAATCCTCCATATGCAGCGACATTGATCGTTTCATAAATGAAAAAATAGTACTCGCTGACAGAGTCATAGTGCAGCATGCTTCCAGCAAAGTGAAGGATGGTGATGTGCTTCTCGTGTATGGATCGTCGTGCGTGGTTGAGATGATTCTCTTGCACTCTCACGAGCTGGGGAAACAGTTCCGTGTCATCGTAGTTGACTCTAGGCCCAAACTTGAAGGCAAAGCTCTGCTTCGTAGGCTGGTGGTAAAGGGCGTGCATTGTACATACACTCACATAAATGCTGTTTCCTATGTCATGCATGAGGTGACAAAAGTTTTCCTCGGTGCTTCTTCAGTGTTGTCTAATGGGACAGTGTATTCGAGGGTTGGGACTGCTTGTGTGGCGATGGTTGCCCATGCATTTCGAGTTCCCGTCATAATTTGCTGCGAAGCTTATAAGTTTCACGAGAGAGTGCAACTGGACTCGATCTGTTCAAATGAGCTTGGTAATAATGGTTTTTCTAGTTTGTAGCTGTGATGTGACTTTAGACACTAGGCATGTACTCATGACATGGTGAATTTGGAATTGGTTGCAGGTGATCCTGATGCCATTGGGAAGGTACCTGGGAGAATGGATGTGAACTACCTCGATGATGTGTCAAATTCTGTCAATCTTCAGCTTCTAAATTTGATGTAAGTGATCCAGATTGTGCTAGGTTTTCTTTCCCCATTCATGCCTTATTATTTGTGTCTGAACTTGCTATTTTTGGGGTGTGGCGTGGCAGGTATGATGCTACCCCTGCAGATTATGTATCTATGATTGTCACTGATTATGGCATGGTAGGTCCTGAAAGCTACAGATCTCGTATCTGTTCGTTGCATTCTTCAGCCCATTCTGGTGTGTTATTGACTTGGTCTGCAAAATCCTTTTCCTGATAATTGCAGATCCCACCAACAAGTGTTCCTGTGATTGTGCGGGAGTATAGAAGGGACCACCTCTTGATATAAGGCATCTTTGCCGGGAAAATCGAGAACTGGATTTTGACTTAATATGATAGGAAACTTTTGATTGTTTACTAAGTTATTATTGATGTTACTGTGCCATGCTTGTCTGAGCTCAGTATTTTTTGGCGGATATCATCTTTTGGCCTGCGTTCGCTGTGTTGGAATGGAGTTGGGATTTCTTGTAACCCTAGCCATGGTTTCAATTCTAGATGGCTTCTACCTTGTTGCTAGATTTTCAGATTGTTACGAAGGTTCAATCTGATTCCCAAATAGTTGTCTAATAAATTTCCATGAAATGGGACCTAACATTGTATTGTTTGAACAGCTGTATTTGTATATGTATATGCATTTCTACAACATTTGACCGCCTATTAACAAATGGTTGTTCACAAGTTACAACCAGTTGACAGGAAAAAAATCCCAATATACACTAGTAATGGGTTAATTGCAAGGTTGGTCACTGGATTATTAAAAACGTTCTTGTTTAGTCATTGAAAATATTTAATTTTATTCATGATCACTAAACATTCCAAGTTTGGTCACTCTCCGTTAGTCTTCGTCAACACTGTCAGTTTTTTGCTGACGTGGCTAACAGAAGTGCCAAATCAGTCAATTTTAACCCAAAAAATTTGAAACCCGACCCACCACGTCATTAACCCAACCAATGATCCGACCCGACCCTTCACCTTCTTCCTCTTCTTTTCAACGGCGGCAGGAAGTGCAGGCAGCCTTCAATACAACCGTAAAAGCAGGAACAACTTCCACAAAGAACAAGAAGTGGAAACAAGATTAGAGAGACCCATTAATCCTAACCAGTAAACAAATCTGGCAAAATTAGAGGAAAAAAGAGTTGAGCTGCGTAGGGAAAAACATATCGTTCGTTGATGGCTTGGTCTTGAAATTGAAATTCATTGTCGCTTCCTCCTCTTGCCTCCAAATTGGAATATGGAATTCTAAACTGGAATATTGAATTGGAATTGGGGTTCTAGAGTGGCATAAGAAGCAGATGATAGAAGCAGATGATGGCTGGTATCGTCGCCATTGACGCGCCAGATCTCTGCGAGGAGATTATCAAGAAGGCATGCCCCTCCAAACATCCTCCGTTCTTCGAGCCGTCGCCGCGAATGCCACCTCTCCGGCGATGTCTTCTTCTTTCCCACTCAACCAAAGTGCGGAAGCACGAACTCGGCTTCGCTCTCCCTTCCAATTCGTCAGATCCAAATCCGTCGGCTGCCTATAAACTTCCCACCTCGAACCACAACTGAAACCCCCTGAAATCGAGATCTAGATTCCCTCCTCGAACGGCGTCGAACCACCATCTGTGATTCCCTCCTCTTCGTCTTCCCTACTCTCCCCCTTGTCACATTTTCAAACCAAGCAGTCGGAATTGCAGCACCCACCGTCCTTCCACTCTACATATGCTATGTAGTCATCATCGTCGGATCTGGATTCGACGTGGGGTGAAGATGAACGCCAGGAGCTCCTATGCCAGCCCGATGAGCGCCGCAAATGATTTCTGCATCTTCCTCCTGCATGTGCCATTGAAGAGAGATTGTGATGGGTTCATTGATCTAGGTCGGGCGTGAGATGGTGGGCAGGGAAGAGGTTTAGGTCGGCGCCGGATTTTCTAGAGGAGAACGAGAGGTTGGGTTTTTATTCATTGTTGGTGGTTTAATGGCGTGGGTTTGACGGGTTTGGGTGGTTTAATTGATGGGTTTAATTTGCAGGTTGGGTCTTGCCAATATAATGACGTGGTACTTTTTTTTCAAATTAATTTTTGGTGACTCAGCATTTTTGTTAGCCACGTCAGCAAAAAACTGACGGTGTTGACGGAGACTAACGGAGAGTGACCAAACTTGGAATGTTTAACTAATCCTAGTGACTATGAATGGAATTATATATTTCTAGCGACTAAACATGAACCTTTTTAGTAATCCTAGTGACCAACCATGCAATTAACCCCAATAGTAATTAAAAAAATTCCAAAATACATAAATTATAAAAAAAATGCTTAATCTACACATGTTTCACATTCACCGTCTTTGTCTAAGGCAGTGAATGCAATCACCATGTTAGACAAACACAGTGAATAAGTCACCGCGTATAAAAAAAATGATGAAGAAATCGCCGTGTTTGTTTAAAGCGGTGAATTGATCACAGTTTTCGTGCAAAGCGGGGAAAACGTTCACCGCTCTAGGTTACGATGGTGATAGTTTCCCACGTTTCTCACCCCTGGTAGGTGAAAGTTAGGTCACAACCACCTAACGGTCACCGCCTTAGGACAATGCGGTGACTACCTTCACCGTTGTGGACAAACGCGGTGAATGCTGACCGATTTTCATATAAATACCCCTCCCACGAGCAGTTGGAAAAACGTAACCCCCCTCCCTCTTCAAATTTCAGCAAAAAAAAAACGAACAACTTACGCAGAAGCTATTTTCGGTATGATTTAATTTTGTATTGTTATATAATGATGTTTTAGTAGTTATATGTATGTAATGAATTACTTATCGTAGCAAATATGTTATGTTAGTCGGGAATTTATGCTGTTGTTAGTTATGAGATGGAGTAATATTAGTCGTACAATATGGTTTTGGTTAATTTTATTGGAATTAGGCTAATAGTTACTTATTGTAAATTGTAGATATGGGGTAAATTCAAGAAGTTTCAGCTTATTATGCGGTGGAATGGAAGGGTGACAAACTCTGACATTGGTATTGATTATGAGGACGGTGGTGAATCCACTATGTTGAAAATTGAGTCGCGATTCACGTGGCAAGAACTCTGTGACATTTGTGCAAACAGGGTTTGTACGAGCGGACATACGAGAGTTGGTAAAATGACTTACAGGTATCCAAACATGAGTGCTGGCGGGGTTGTGTACCAAGAAATTGTCATAAACGATGATGACACGGTTACGATGATGTTACAGTTCCTAGGCGATAACAGGATGCGGCTTGCAGAGGTGGTTATACAGTAGGTTACGGATTGGGTGGTAGTTCAAGCAACTACGGAGGAGGTAGTGGTGCAGGATGGGTGAAATTGGAAGAATACCCGCAACGGAATGAACCTACCCCATTTGTTGAGGCCGGTGAGGTTCAATGGCCTGCTTGGGGGCTAGAGTGGGCTGAAATCGAGAATACCATTCGATTTGGCCGTACTTCACATGAGCGAGAAGACGATGTTGGTGATGGTGGTCATGTTGATCCTTCAGGCCCGAGCTATCCATTCAACTCGAGCGACGATGATACTGAGGAAGATTTGAGATCAGTGAGCGAGGAGGAAGATACTGACGATACCGACGACGATGTGGCATTTCGTGAGCCAACGACGCCATACTACACACATGTTCCAACTCAATTTTTACATAGTCAGAATGATGCAGTAGACGTTGTCCCTATGCTAGTGTATAATCTGACGGCCAATTCGGAGGTGGGTATGGCGTTCACATTGAAGGACGCTGTGCATGATGCTTTTACCGAAGATGCCATGCGGCGCAATTTCGATTGGAAGGTAAAATATTCTGACAGTAAACAACAACATGTCATATGCAAGAATGCTGCAGAGGGTTGTATGTGGCAACTGTGGGCTGCAAATATGAAGAGAAAGGGTGCCGGGGTGATTCGAAAAGCTGAGAACAACCACAATTGCTCCTCGTCCATACTTTCTTAGGATCCCTGGAAACTTAAAGCAAAGAAAGTGGGGAGAACTATTAAGCACCTTATCGAGATACAACCAGATATCAAGGTCAAAGTTAGCATGGCCGAGGTGAAGGATCGACATTCTCACACGATAAGGTACAAAAAGGCATGGCATGGTAAGCAGAAAACCATGGCTGAGGTGTATGGTGATTGGGAGGACTCGTATGCTTTACTCCCTAGACTTATGGCCGCAATGGAGGAGTCCAACCCTAGAACTGTTTTCGTGCCTTCTTACAACAATGTATACACTAAGGATCAAGTTCGAGTACAGGAAAAGTTGATGTTTCACCGTCTATTTTGGGCTTTCAAACCATGCATTGACGGGTTTGCGTTCTGCATACCAGTTATCCAGGTATTTTAATAACTAATTAATGTTAGAAAAGTTTAATTTACCTGCTAAGTAAATTTCATACTATTTATCTGCTAATTTTAATTAGGTTGATGGAACTCTCCTTACTGTGAAGTACAGAGGCACTCTTCTCATTGCCACTGGGGTTGATGGAAATATGCGGATTTTCCCGCTTGCATTTGCATTAGTGGTAGGGGAGAACAACTTAAGTTGGGTATGGTTCTTTGACCAACTACATGAACACGTGACACAGCGGCAGGGTATTACGATTATATCTGATCGACACGCGGGGATTAGGAATGTCGTGGGTGGTTTTCCTGACGAATGGGGATGGACATGGGTACCCTCCTCGCGACAAGTCAGGTGAATGACAAGGTGTAAGGGGCAATCGATGCCAAGCGCGGTCCTCATCAGAGAACCCTTCGCAGTGAGAGCCGAAAGCATCTCAAGTGGATCGCGACCAGCAGAGTCCGATCCCTGGTTTTACTATATCTCAGCTTGAGCAGCTAAAACAGTTCTTCGGGAAGTCCGATCCAGTCGATGATCCTGTGGCTCACATGGCAGGTACTATTTCTTTTGATTCTGAGTGGTTACTCGATTCGGGTTGCAATGAACATATCACCATGGATGATACCTTACTGTCTAGTAAGCATGTCAGTGTGAATGAGCCACCAGTTCGGATTCCGAATGGGGCAAGCATTCCAGTTCAACATATTGGGAAAATTGATCTTCAGTCTGGGTTAACACTAGGCCGGGTTCTTCATTTACCAGAATTTTGGTGTAATTTGGTATCTGTTAGTCGCTTCACTAAAGAGAATCAGGTTGCACTAATATTCCTCGCTGATTTCTGCGTAATCCAGGATTTACGCTCCAAGAAGTTGATTGGAAAGGGTGAAATGCGTGATGGGCTGTATTAACTGCACTTGTTTGGTCAAGGGAGTGCACAAGCGTGTTGTGTTTAAGGAGGTTCGAAGGTCACAGAGACCAATTGGCATGCACGGTTGGGTCACCCCTCATCGGATAAGTTGCAAAGTCTCAGTTCGTCATTATCAGTCTCTGTCAGCACACAGCAGGCTCCTTGACACTCCTGTTTACGTGCTAAACAAACCTGTAGTCCTTTTCCTTCCAGTTTTATTAAGACGAAGTCATGTTTTGAGTTTGTTCATTTGGATATTTGGGGTGGTTACAAAGTACCTTCTTTGAGTGGTGCACACTATTTTTTGACAATCGTGGATGACTTTAGTCGCGGTACTTGGGTTTATCTCATGCGTTATAAATCGGATGTTAGTCGTTATTTGCTCCAGTTCTTCCATATGGTTTGTACTCAGTTTAAAGCATAGGTGAAACGAGTGGAAACAGATAATGGATCCGAGTTTACCACTCCACCTCTTCGTGAGTACTATGATTCTGCAGGTATTCTTTTCCAGGCATTGTGCACAGATACCCCCTCAGCAGAATGGGGTTGTCGAACACAAGCATCGTCACTTGCTTGAACTGCTCGAGCACTTCGATTCCAAGCTAGTCTTCCTCTCAAGCTTTGGGGCGAATGTATTCTGACCGCCACCTATCTTATTAATCGATTGGTGAGTTCAGTCACCGGGCCCGTCCCTTACGAGTTTATCTTTCATCGGTGACCAACTTATGCACATTTACGTGTGTTCGGCTGCCTAGTCTATGCCAAGAACACTCATGGCCATCTCGATAAATTCAAAGAGCGTAGACAAGCTTGCGTCTTTCTTGGCTATGAAACTAGTCAGAAAGGATATCTGGTCTATCATCTAGCTGATCGCAAGATGATCACCTCTCGTGATGTCATCTTCCACGAGACCATGTTTCCTTTCCAAGCTTCCACGCAGACCTCTCTTCACTGGGTGCCTCGTCCCATCTTTAGTGAACTACAAGTCCCAGCGGATGATGATGACATTACCTCCCCTTGTCCTCCTCTCACTACGGGTGAGGCACAACACATGGATGAGGAGCCCACATTACCAGTTCGCCGACGACTGCTGCAACTCAGGCCAGTTCGCCTCCTGCTTCCCCCCAGCCTCCGCCGCCTGTCCCCGAGTTACGTCATGGCGACCGTTCTCGCCATCATCCCAAATATCTGGAGAATTATCTCACGGGACCGGTGACTTGGGACGCTCCAGCGGAGGCTCCTCAGGGAAGTACCATTTGCTATCCCCTCTCCAATCACATTAATTATGATATTTCTCTC